CTCCAGGCACCAGCCTGGCAAGCAGGTGCTTGGGGCGGCCTCTCCGGAGAGGGGCGGCACATCAAGCTATTCGGCGGCAATTCGGCGCACGGTCCCTCACTCCGGCTTGGAGCGAAAGACCTTCAACTGATTTGCCTCCGCAGATCGCGATCGCGGCTTTTTTCTTTTTTTGGCTGCTTGGGGCGGCCAAAACCCTGGAGCCGGCCCTGGGGAAGGAACAGCCTGTGTGCTGCAGTGCCTGTGAAGTGATGCTGCTCCACTGCCCTGCAGAGGAACAGGATCCTGGCGTGTGTGACATTGACCACTAGGGGGAGCTGATCAGCCACAAGCTGCAGAAGGGTGCGGAATGGGGTGTGCAGGTCACAGTGACCAGCCACCAGCTGCTGCGGTAGAGTCGCCTCTGGGCTCAGGGGCTGTTCATACCCTAACGGCTCTTAGATCCATGGTACATATGAGCTCCCCTAGGGGCCTTCAGCTCTGGGGGACGAGTAGGGTGACCAGATGTCCCGATTTTATAGGGACAGTCCCGATTTTTGGGTCTTTTCCTTATATAGGCTCCTATTACCCCCCACCCCCTGTCCCGATTTTTCACACTTGCTGTCTGGTCACCCTAGGGACGAGCTTCTCATCCAGCCCTGTCTGCCCTCCCGGCTCCATGATCTCTAGGGCAGGGGCTCTCCCCCCAGGACATGATGAAATCCCCAAACCCTGAGGGCAGAGGGGGAGAAGCACTGGGGCTGCCTACGCCTGCAGCCCCTCCTGCTTCCTCCCTCCCCCCAGTCACTCCGTGCTCTGCCCCAGGGACCCATGTGTAGAGGTGGTGATCAGCTGGCCCCTGGCCACCTGCAGGCCCCACGACTCACAGTGACCAGCGGGCTCCTCGCCATATTCAAATGGTGCTGCCCTGACTCAAAGAGCAGGTGAAAAGGAAGCAGCTGGAAGCACCATCTTATCCCTCTACCAGCACCACAGCACCCCACTGCTCCCTGCTCAGCGGAGCCACCTCCCCCAGCCAGCGACCCCCAAACCATGGCTCTGCCCCAGATTTCACTCCTCCCAGCCCCCACCCCACTCAGCAGCACCCACCCCAGGCAACATCTCATTGGCAGCATCTCACCCTGAACCTAGCCATGTTTCTGGTTGTGACCCAAAGAACTGTGGGATGTGACTGCAAGGGATTGTGGGTTGGGCCATGACAAGAAACCTAAGTTGCTCTTGTTGTTCCAGGTACAGCCAGTTAGAGACTCTCCCCGACCCCTCCATGACCTAAATGATGGAGCATGTTGTGCAGACTGGGAGCTCCTCAGCTCCAGGATTCTCCCTATTGTTTCAGTGCAAATGGAAAACAAAAGAATTCTTTCTTACCTCAGTTACAATGGGGATTTATATAGACAAGCTTTCCCCGTGTTACCGACCTCCAAAAGAGGGTGGTGGTCACAGGTATTGGCAGCCAATCAGCAGGGAGCAGATTTGCATGAAGGGGTCATTCTCCAGCTCTGGGATTTTAAGAGAGAATCGGAGGGTCCCAGCCACAGACCCGTTTGTCTCAGGAAGCCGAACACGTCTGGATTCCCCACCATGGCCTGGGCCCCTCTGCTCCTCACGCTGCTCACTTACTGCTCAGGTGCTGCAAGGGGGAGGGTTTATTTCTGTCTCTAGTTCTAACGGTCTCTGCCTGCACAAAGCTTTAATGCCACAGCAAATGGCAAAATAGGTATTTTCCACTGATGTGTTTTGTTCTCCTGTTGCAGGTTCTCTGGCCCAGTACGTGCTGACTCAGCCGCCCTCAGTGTCTGTGTCTCCAGGGCAAAATGCTCAACTCACCTGCTCAGGGAACAACATTGGTAGCAAGTACGTGCACTGGTACCAACAGAAGCCTGGCAGCGCCCCACTACGTGTTATATATGATAGCAGCAGCAGAGCCTCCGGAATCCCGGATCGATTCTCTGGGGCCAGCTCCGGTAACACGGCCACGTTAACTATCACTGGAGTCCAGGCGCAGGACGAGGCTGATTATTACTGTCGGGTGTGGGACAGTAACGCTGCTCACAGTGACACAGTCAGATGGGGAAGTGAGACACAAACCCCCTCTTTAGCAAAGGCCACATTTAATATTCTTTCTTGTGATAGTGGGAGGGGCTATCATTTCAGAGGTGGGGAAGGGGCTTCCATATATAATCACCCTAGAAACTGTTCAAGGCAGAGATTCTGTTAATGAGCGCTGAGATTGACAGAATTCACAGCCACTTCTACATGCAGTGTTGTAGCTGTGTCAGTCCCAGGATATTAAAGAGACAAGGTGGGTGAGGTAACGTCTTTTATTGGACCAACTTCTCTCCGTGAGGGAGAGACAAGTTTCCATGCTGCACAGAGTTCTTCCTCAGTCAATAGCTGTGTGTAGCTTCAAAGCTTGTCTCTCACAACAGAAGCTGGTCCAATAAAAGATGTTACCTTGCTCACACAGCCACTTCTAAAGTCTAGGGTATGTATCTCGGCTAGCACAACTCTTATGCACCTGAAATTTCATCACTGCTCTACATATTTCACACTGCCTGATTCTGTATTTCTTAGGCGAGGATCTATTGGGCGCTACGGATGATCGGCATGGAACTCGGGAAGTGCTTCCATTACATGGCTAGCAGCTCAGATTGAACTGAGGACTCAGATGCCCTCACTGCTTGTGTCCCCAGGAAACACGGTGAAACCTTCCTGCATTGGGAACAGTGGGACCAGCTTCAAAGATTACAGTGAATACTGGTCCGAGTGTGAACTTGGGGGTTTTCCATGATACGTTAGTTACCTCTCAGATGCTGAGAAAAACCAGGATGCTGCTGGAGTCCCTGCTTCTGCCTGTGGATACCAAGACATATCCAGTAACACCGGATGCTTAGCCTTCTCCAGGGCACTTGGTGGAGACGATGCTGTTACTGTGCTGTGTGGTGTAGCAGGGAAAGCAAGAAAAAATCTTCCCCCTCACTCCTTCGGCCGGCGTTCTGCTGGGAAGTACATGACCTGCAGTTTGGTTTCTGTCTGTACTCAGGGTTCAAAGTTTGCTGAATTGGGCTGGAACATCATCCCAATATTTTTCTCATGGGTAAACCTGTTTGTGCAGAATCTGAATGTTAATTTTGTACATTTTCATTTTCTACCCCTTCCTTAAGGTTGAGAAGAAAAACTTTGTGAATGTGACTTGGTACAAAGCTGCCTAAATGTGTCTGCTAGTAACAGCCTGCAAAAGCCTCCTTAAGGAAGTGTGAACTGTCCCATTCATCTCAATGGCATCTTAACTCTGAAACCGAACAAACACAAGTAAAATTGGATGCAGCATACAAACATTATTCGAAGATATCACTGGGCTTGCTATCTCCTTTATGCGCTTTAGGTCTGGGCAGGATGGGGAAGGTATAATAGCAGTCATGTTAGGAATGAGGATTTCTCATACTCTCCTGCTGTCTGTAGTGTACCATTTTTCCCAAGCCCCGCACTGAGTGTATTAGTGAATGTAACCAGATTCCCTACAAACCTTGCTATGGGTTAGATTTTCTCAGCAGCACCAGCACAACGACTGGCTTGCTGACTCCCCAGCACTGCATGGAAAATCTAAACCATCTCATATAGATTTGAAACACATGTTTTAAAGCCCAGTTGTTTTTGGTCCTGGATCGCCATGGAAGTGCCTGTCTGTCTGTGCATTGGCTGCTGTGGTCAGCAGATTCACTGCTGTTGGCAGTCTGTAGCCTCTGGGCTGAGGGCCAGGTATTTTCAGGGGGGGGATCTTCAATGTTGGCATTCACTGCACTTATTGGTCCTGCAGACGTTGAGGCACAGAGCCATGAACCGCTCTTTACTCAGACTTTACGTTTACCCCCACTTTACTCCGAGAGTGGGTGGGGCAGAGTTCGGTGTTAATGGTAGTTCTATGGTAGCCAGTTAATGGTCTGTGGTATTGAATAGCACAGACGTGCCCAAAGGTGGTATTTTAGGCTTATTTGATTACAAGGAATTACATACTAGATTAATAATAAAGTGGCCCCCCTAGGACCACCCAGAGGTGCTCACTCTAAATTCTCCAGGCCCCAAAGTGTCTCCCAGATGTGGGGCTGAAGTGATGTGAGGAGTAGCTTGGGAGGTTGAAGTCTCCACTCCTCACCTTTCCACTCTGTTCCTGTGGCTCCCACGGATGCCGTGGGATAGGGATTCTGTCTGGCTGCTCATGGTCTGTGAAGCATCATTGGGTGTATGCAGACAAGTTCTACTGGATGTTTTAGGACATTGGTAACATAAACACCAAACGCTTTACTCCTGCGGGGTCACAGCTTGTCCTTCCTTCCACCCGGCATCTCCTGAGCTACCAAAGGAAGCAGGACAGTGACGTTATCCCCCATGCACCAGAGCTCAGCACCCTTCTCTGCCTTTGCCTGCTCCACACAGGCATTTCCAGTGCCTCTCAGAAACGGCTAAGGCCCAAAGCCCTGTTCTGGGAGAAGCGCATCAGCTCCACACTGTTTAGTTGGTGCGATAACGCACAGGGGGCTTTGGCCAATGTTACTAGAGGCATCAGAGCAGCATCACAGCCTCCGTTTCTCTGATTCCCAGGTTAATCACCAATCATCTAAACAAAATGCTGGAGAGGAACCTTGACGCTGTCAGCCAGTGACTGAAGATTGTTGGTTCCCCCCCCCGCCCCCGCCCACTATCTGTGTGAGGTGCTGGTCACCCTTTCCGTGCCCCTACGCAGATGTGTGTGACACGGTGTCTCGCTTGGTCACCCAGCACAGGAAGAGGAGATCAGTTGGTGTCTCTAGGGTGTTGGGTGTTGCCAGCTGCCTCCTGCTGAGCGTGGGGCACTTCAATGGCGATAGGAAGTGGCCCTGCCAAATGTCGCAAATATAAATGGCTGGGAAATATTCCCAACTGGAGAGTCAGGTCCTTGTTTGATTCCCCCCGGGGACAGACTGGGGCCAGGGAAGGGATCTGAGAGTCTCCCCTCCTCCCCACTGACCAGTCAGCTGTGGGACCCTGCACGTGGCATCTGCTCTGTTCAGAAGAACACCCTAATGTGGCTAAACTGACCTGCAGGCAACCTCCCCCCCAAGACCGTGCTGGAACACGGGCTATTATGGGACAGAGCCAACACAGATCCAAGGAAACCCTTGGGAGTGAATGTCAGATGACTCATTTAGTTCTTGTCTGGTGCTGCTGATCCTGTGACATCCTGTGAAGGAACAGAATGAATCCCCCAGAGGTTCTCAACTTATAGGTCTTCCAGGGCTTCACATCAACTCATTTAGATATTTATATAGTTTTACAACAGGCTACATAAAAAGCACTAGTGAAATCAGTACAAACTAAAATTTCATACAGACAAAATGAGAGTGTAAGCAATTTTTCAGTACTAGTGTGGCTGTGACACTTTTGTATTTTTATGTCTGATTTTGTAAGCAAGTCGTTTTTAAGTGAGGTGAAACTTGGGGTGCACAAGACAAATCAGACGCCTGAAAGGGGTACAGTAGTCTGGAAAGGTTGAGTACCACATGATTGTGTCCTGATTGTTCTGACACCTGAGCCAGTAAATCTGACCTTGACCACTAGAGGGAACTCTTTGTTTACAAAGTGCTGAAGGTAGGAGAACAAACGAGCTTGGCAGAAGTTGGGGAAGTGAGGTTCTGAAAAAAAATCTCTAAATTTCAAAAATGTTGCCATTTTGTAATGCTCAGAATGGATCAAATTTCAAGTTTTTGTAAAGTTTTCTGCTATATTTTTTCACAGACACTAAATTTCTATCAGTAGTGTTTATTTGATCACAAACAGTTTTTGGTAAGAAAACATGGATTTTTGAAAAATGATAACCATTCTGAGCATGATTCAATAAAAATGTCACTAATAAACAGTGCAGAAAATGTTAAAAAACAGAATACTTAAATAATGCCAATAAGTTTTCACAAAAATGTTTTAAAGGCCTTTATTTTCAATGAGAAAACTTTTAGTACAAAATATGTTCACCAACCCTACAGTGCATTTCTCCAGTCAATAGAGTATTAGTTTACAACATGTGGGATCGAGAGGTTTCTGGGTATGATATTTTTTTTATTCCACTACTAACTCTCACCCTAATACTGTGATTACTGCTGGAGCTCTGCAATTTCGAAATCTGTTTTTGCTCTAAATGAGAATGAAACATTGAATTTTAATATTTCCTAAGAAACAAAATTTCCCCCCAAAAAATCATTTTGGGTCATTTGAAATATTTTGTTTCAATAAAATCAAAATATTATGTTTTTATTTTGACATTTTAGACTTACTATTCTAATATAAAATGAAATTAGGAAAAAACGTCATTTTGAAACAAAAAAAATCAAACCGCCCCCTGAGGGAAATGTGGACACAGAAGGTTTTGACACTATTGAAATGTTTTGTTTTGATTCTTCTCCTAAGCAGAATTTCGGTGCAAAGCCCCACATTCCTGCAGAGAGTTTCCATTTTGAGGAAAGAGCCTTTCCCGATGGAAAAACAGCCCATTGGAAAATTCTCAGCCAGCTCTAAATGTTCGTTATTTGCATTGTGGTGGTGCCTAGAGGCTCCAATCGAGCTCAGCGCCCCAGGATGCTCAGTGCTGTTCAAACACAGAGTGAGAGACAGTCTCTGCTAAGAAGAGCTTAGATCTAAATAGACGAGACGGACGAAGAGGAAGCAGAGGCACCCGGGGTGAAGTGACCAACCCAAGCTGATGAAGCAAGTCAGTAGCAGAGCCAACATTTGAACCCAGCTCTCCTGACTCCCAGTCCAGTGGGCCAAAGCTGCCCCGCTCCCATAACTTCATTATAATATGAATAAACGACCCCAGGGGACATTCTGCTGGGGAGTCCAGCTCCCTGTTCTTCACATCTTCTCTCTGCAGCACTGGGGCTGCCTACGCCTGCAGCCCCTCCTGGTTTCCCCCCGCACCCAGTCACTCCGTGCTCTGCCCCAGGGACCCATGTGTAAAGGTGGTGATGAGCTGGCCCCTGGCCACCTGCAGGCCCCACGACTCACAGTGACCAACGGGCTCCTCGTCATCTTCAAAAGGTGCTGCCCTGAGTTAAAGAGCAGGTGAAAAGGAAGCAGCTGGAAGCACCATCTTATCCCTCTACCAGCCCCCCAGCAGCCCACTGCTCCCTGCTCAGCCAAGCCACCTCCCCCAGCCAGCAACCCCCAAACCATGGCCCTGCCCCGATTCCACTCCTCCCGGCCCCCACTCCGCTCAGCAACACCCACCCCAGGCAGCATCCGTCACCCAGAATCTAGCCATGTTTCTTTATAACCCAAAACCTAGTGGGATGTGACTGCAAGGGATTGTGGATTGGGGCCATGACAACAAATCTCAGTTGGTTTTGTTGACCCAGGTTCAGACACTTAGAGAGTCTCTGCTCCATGAACTAAGTGGTGGAGCAGGTTGTGCAGACTGGGAGCTCCCCAGCTCCAGGATTCTCCCTGTTGTCCGCTTACAAATGGAAAAACAATTCTGTCCTACCTAAGTAACTATGGGGCTATATAGAGAGAAATTCTCACCCTGTCATTGTCCTTCCAAAGTGGATGGAGTATGTCTGTTGGCACTGGCAGCCAATGAGCAGGGAGCAGATTTGCATGAAGGGGCCGTTCTCCAGCTGTGGCGGTTTAAGAGGGAATCGGAGGGTCCCAGTCACAGACACGTTTGCCTCAGGAAGCCGAGCTCGTCTGGATTCCCACCATGGCCTGGGCCCCTCTGCTCCTCA